AAGAGCATACATCGGCACCACAAAACGAAGCATAAACACTAGGATCACGGAGCACAAACGAAGTTGCAGATTGGGACAAACGGAAAAATCAGCAGTGGCGGAGCACGCACTACTAGACGGCCACCAAATACGCTTCGACGAAGTTGACATTCTGCACCAATCTGAAAGATACTACCCGAGACTCACCAGGGAGGCCATCAAAATATTTAAACACCAAAACAATTTCAACAGAAAAGAAGAAATTACGGCACTCAATCCAGATTGGAAGCGCGTTTTGCGCCAAACAGCATGTGCGCTGAAGCGTTGGAACCCCCACCCATCCCCCACGCATGAGCACACACGGCTGTGCGGCATAAATACGACTGGGAATCCAGCAGTTAAATCACTCTTAGTCGGAAAGCACGGGAGATCACTTCGCCCACTGCCTCATCGCCTTTGAAAATGTCCACTGCAGTTGTGGACGAAACGTCAGGAAGAAATTCCGATAGACCACGGCTTCAAAGCCCGGCAAACATTCCTAAATGTAGAAACTATTTTGTCTGCAGTTTTAGATTTCTCCACCCGATTGGAGAATCCCAGAAATATATTCAACTGCCTCCAGGATCCCGAGTGTGGAGTCTTTCCACTGAAATTGTGGATCGGATGGCCCGGGCCCGGTCTGGAGAAAAATGGATTAAACTGGTATATGACAGCACGTGGAAAAGTGGAAAAAGTCGTAATGCACGTCCCGCTGGTTAAACTTATGCAAGGAGTAAACTTTTTTAATGTTGCAAAGGGAGTATAAAACTTATAATATATATGCTATCTGCGATAAATGCAAGAAATTACTATCACAATATTTCAGTGGATAAAGAATTGTGGTTTGGAATGCCCTACTCGAAACCAATTTGAAACAAAATGGTGTAGAACATTTCTCCAAAATAACTGTCTCAATTTTGACATATGACACATGGCAACCATACTTGATTACTGCTTTAGCGAATGGAGCATTTTATTGCACTTTCTCTAATATATCACATCGTAAATTTTTTTTTTTTTGAAAATAAAGTGTCTGCGAACGATTTATACTTTTTCAGTTTAGTTGATAGAAGTTAGTCATGGAAAATAGCGTCAGATATACAGCGTTGTTTCCATATAAACAAATAATGACAGTATGCTTCAGTATTTATTTTAACAACTACGTTAAACTTGGCAATGGCTTGATTTTATGTAAGACGGCTGCTCATTTAAAGTGTTGAGTATAAAAATCAAATCATACCAATAATAATTAAAACTTAACTCTGGAGATTTTTATTGTAAACCACTTTCAAAAAGTCCACCATTATTACCGATGCAACATTGCAACGCTTCAAAACTCAATAAGATGCTTTTCTTGCGGACCGACCATTAATATTTTCAAATCCTCTAACAACAGCTTCTTTAAGTGCATTTAAATAGAAATATTTGTTTTTGTAAGCAGTGCTCTTTACGAGTTGTCGCAAAAAGCAATCCAAAGGTGTTCAAGGTGGCCATAAAATAGAGCCGTTTCGTCCAATGCAAGCCCCAGGAAATGTTACGACCAGATGATTTCCCACATGGGGAAAATTAGGAGGAGGAGCGCCATCATGTTAAAACCACAACACATTACGCCATGTTCATAAATCTAAGTTGTGCAACATAAATTCCAGGGTATTTTGAAGGAATTGACAATCTTGGACCACCAATACTTTCCGAACATCTGGAAAAAGGCAATTGTGGTATTGGTTCCGAAGAAAGGCTCAAAACGGAAACTGCTCACGTCCTACAGGCCCATCAGCTTACTACC